TCTCCAGCCAGTGCACTGCGATTTAAGGGGAGCTGTTGTTTAGAGGAGCCACTGTGGGAAAGTCATTAAAGTGTAAAGCATCTCTCTTTTATTTCTTTCTAAAGGAGTTCTGGAAGAGGCTCCCATTAAAGCGGTGGATGGTAATGAGGGCTGACACTGACCGGCCACCCCCATAGTGCCCTGTGTGCTGATAGTCGCTGCCATGGCAAACCGATTCACTCCTAGAAAAACAGCCTGTTGGATGCACTGTGCAAATTACTTCCTCTCGTCAACAGGTGGCCAGTGTCTACATCCACCAGCAAACTATTAAATCAAGCCTTTTCTTCCAGTAGGAAAAGAACTTTCACTCACTTTTTGTGCAGTTGGTGTTTTTCCGAGTGCAAAGGTCATCTTGTGCTTATCTATTTAAAGATGACACACCGGGTATCTGATACTCAACTCATTGTTCCAAAGGATGAGGACAAAGAGAAGTGGCCTTTAATTAAAACAAGAGTCATTCACCAACTGTGTCTTCTGGCTGATCATATCATCATCATTCCACGTAGTATATATTTATGTGGTGGACTAGAATGTACAGCGCTAAGCAGAAACCAAGCTCTCAACCATTTTCTAATCGAATGACCCTCACGCCAGGCTGTTATCAAGTCATTACAAAACCACAAAGGGAGACATCACATCACATGGGATAAAGGTTCAAATAGTTGTTTGGACTGCATTTTAATGCTAGAGGATTGCCTTTAGTGCTAGAACACAAGTTCAAATGGCGCATATAAAACAATTAGATGTGATTCACTGTTCAGTTCACAAGCAATCAGAGGATAAACTGCCCTCTTCTCTGTGGTGCAATGGGATGAGGGGAGCACAGAAAGAGCTGACATCAGTAGGAAGTTGATTTCCGTAGTGTGACAGCCTCCCCAAAATGTGGAGCAGGGAAACCGGTCTGAAGCAGTCTGCTGAGCTGAAGTGTTTTTCATTCATTGTCGCTGATTTTCAAAGAAATTCGGGGGCCTCTGCTGGTATAAGGTGGTACCGCATGTTGTTTACCAACACTTTGCACTTCAGGACATACAGCTTTCCTTTAGTTTGTACTGTAACCAGATAGCACACCTGCTTTCTCAAACATAATCCCTGAATCACACACTGATGATAGTATCCTACCAGGTCAGAGGTTTTGAGATACTGTTTCAGAAATCATGTGCATTTAAAGTATTTTTCACAGTCTATTTATCACAGTGTGTTATTTCAGTTAAAAGACTCCCGTGCTGAATATTTGACTAGTCGTCAGGTTTAAATATTGCTTAAACACTGTTCTATTTCTGGTCTTTCTATTGATTTTCACTTTTAAACATGCGGTTTTGAAAACACGAGGATAACGTTCACAGAAGAGTTCAAAGACACCTGGCAGAGCTGAAGAGGAACTGCCAGCACTGTGTGTGCCTGGAAGCTGAGCATTACTGAAAGAACTGAAGGCAGCATTGATTTTTTTAATGGATGGATATAGGAAAGAGTGACTGATTTGACTGTCCTGCATTGATGTTTTCGCATGAAGCTGAATACTACTGGTCACTCTTGTTTTTTTTTCCCAGAACTGGACTGGGCTGCACTCATTGGGTGCTATTGTGTATGATTTCCTCTCACAGGGCCCACGTATAGATTTGTGAAAAGCGAGGTTATGCAACACCCTGGCCACTTGAATATACTTCCATTTACCAAGGGGTGAATGGAGGAGTTAAGAACGGCAAGGGACCCATTGTCAACAGTCATTGGTATGCATAGCTCTGTAAGCACGACTATTAGGTTCGTGGTTGGTTTTGATCAAAATCCACAGTATCTTTACCCCCCATCTGGGAGGCTTTTCTTCCAGTGTCGCCCTCAAACTGTTTCCAACATAGTGACCAGCTAAATAACATCAGCAGTCACGAGGGCCGCCCATACATAGCACCAAAACAACCTTATCAGCACTTAGAATGAAGCCAGCTTTGTGCGGTTCCTGATCAAATCATGTGTTCAATAGTATTCTGAAATCCATCTTAAACAAACACTTTATATGCGAGGCTGCAGAGGCAATGACATCTGAACACATTCTCAATAGAAATCAAGCAACTGACATTCTCTTGCACACCAAAAGTTATTGTCTCATGCTCTGACCGCAGTGAGTAATATCCTTTCAGACTTGGAGAAACAGTTTCTAAACACAGGTAGTTTCTAAATACAGATTGTCAACTGACAATGTATTCAGATAATAAATGACCTGGCTAATTTTTGACTCAACATAAGAAATTCCCCTGTTTTTTTTTTGTACATGCTCTACTTCCCTCCTCCCAGTCTGATCTGGAAGCAGAGTGAACTGGGTTGGGGTTATATAACCACTGTCTGTTCTCATAGATCCTCAGCAGCTCGTCTTCCTCTAATCTTTTCAGCTTGATTACACCCCCCATCCCCCTACAAAGCAAATTCATTGTACTGAGTGTTCTCACATGCACGCATATCCCTTCAGCGGCTCGTGAGCCGGACCCGCCACAGTCCGGTTCAAAGCAGATGGGATATTTGCAGTTCTAAGCGTCAGAGCCTCTGTGTGTGTATGTTTTGGTCAGTTTGGTCTGTGTGCAGTGTCTTGTTGTGACAGAGATGATGAAGACATGTGGAAGTTGTGTCTGAGGTCAGCCGCGTGTGCATGCTGTCAGCACCACATTTTTCAGACATTAGCTCTTGATTGTTGAATGTATTAGCATTGCTATCTCAGTCTTTGCTACTTATATGTTTATATCAATATGAATGCAGAAAGGACACTACTAATTATGTGCTTGCATGTGTATATATATGTATGTATATATATATATATATATATAGATGAAATTTGCCACACTTTTTTTACAGTCCATTTTCAGAAATGTTTTTCTTTAGTTTTTCCTTTAAGTTTCTATACTGTTCCTGTCAAATTGCTGATCAGCTAAATTCAGCATTTAGCAGCCACAGCATACATTTCTGTAGTAAGGAAAAACAGAAAGAAAAAAGAAATCCAGGTCAAAGGTCTGGACAGTGTGACTGTACAAAGCGTTTATCATCACCATCATTTGGCATGGAGCGGTCACGTCGAATAAGCTACCCATAATGGCGACGTCAGTTCAGCAATAAGGAAGACTGCCTGATTGTAATGTGGGGCTGTAAAATAATCAGATTGCATTCGTAAAAAGGGAAGACCCAGGGAAAGCTGGTATTTAGACAGACTTCAAGTGTTTGCGGGGCACTTGAGGAACTCGCAGCTGTTTCCACTTTCACGCTTTTGAATTGGCTTTAAAAGCAGGTTGAGGACACATGGTGACAAGAGGGCTTCAAGTACAGAGGGTGACATCCATTGATTCCATTTTTTTGTTGACCACTCAGCTCAGCTGCAGTGGTTAAGCATGACCCCTCTTCTTGAACTTTGCTCGCAAAGACTATAAACATTAAATTACTCTGCTCAAGCTGCGGCCCAGTCACAAACCCATTCACCTCCCGAAGGCTATCAATCTTCCCATATCCATGTGGAGAAACACTCAGTTGGTTTTACAAGCATTTTCATTCAAGGCCAAAAGGCAGATGCTGCAGAAGGTGTAGGCACTTGGACAGTTACCAAAGGGGATATCTGCAACGCAACATAAACCTGGAAGAGGGGAGGAGGGACCTGTGTTCATGTTTTTCCCAAAATCAGCTGGTATAGTGCAGATCTAATCACAGAATATCCCATTATATGCAGTCCATATATGGAAGCCTCAGTTTGTTGGCTGAGTTCCCCTCTTGGCTCATCTAATAACAATTACAAGCTTCAGTCCACCATCTGCTTTCTAACACTTCTTTACTTCTACTCTACATAATAGAGGGGAAAGGATGAGACAGTGTTGTAGTGACTAAATACAGGAAATCCAATGTAGATTTGTAAATCACCTGTACAATGGCTTCCAAACCAAAGATATTTCATATTGTTGTGACACTCAAATTGTAAAGTACATGTGACACTCACTAATTCCACGAAGAAATTGAGTGAGCACGCTTTAGAAGCTGACAAAAACTCATCACGAGTCCATCCATCATCTGTGATGCCTCGAAAAGTGGGGCAGCCCCAGTCTGTGTCTTCATCTCATATGCAGGAGAGCTTCATCAGGACCACCGCCACTTCAAATGATATGGGGGCATCACTAGTGCTTTCGGGTGTGCCAAAAAAGGCTGACTATCTTATTTTCAGACATGCACAAGAAATCTTCATGACATCGTACCCTTTAAGGACAGCTTTATCTTACAAGCTTCCCTGTACGGTGAAACCACTATTTGTAATGATCCTGTTCAGAAAAAAAAAGACTCAATATGTGGTTTGCTGTGTCACTAGATGCAGTCATGCTTTAGCCCACTGCACTCCTCAAGCCAGGACACTGGTTAGGATTTACTGACATCTCTCTGTAAGTTGTGAAATGACAGCCACATGTTACATAACTTCATTCTACTGTAAAGATGGGAATACAGCGCTCTCTGGTGGTCACCGTGTATCATTACATGATTACCATTCTTAACCAGAGGAGTAAAATCAGGCCAGAATCATCTTTATTTTTTGTGTTAAAAGATGCCCTAACATTTCCCATCTTTCCTACCAGATTAACTATCTCATATTGTTACACCAGAGGTGCCACAAACAGATTAAATGAGTAGATTACTGAGCCCTCACAGACTGGGGGCTTGAAGTGCTTATAAGAAATAACAAGCACACTTGTGAATGTGTGGTGAACATTTTCTATAATTTGATCCTTAAACAAAACTACCAGGTAAATTATAACGTACCTAATCACTTGTTTGTTCAAGAAGCCTTTTTTCCTGTGTCTGAAGAAAGGTGAGAATCAGCTCTGTTTGCAACACTTCTGTTTCTCACCACCTGAAAATCTATTTGAACTTCATGTTTTCCGTACAAACCGGCTTTTGCTTGAAATTCAACTTGCCTAGTGATGCGATGGAGTGGAATGCAGAATAAACAGTATTTTAAAGAAAGAGCTTTTTTATTGTTTTGTTTTTAAGGATTTACATTAACTCACAAAAATTTCAAACATTTACATTGTTGTTTTCAGATTCCACTTACTGTAGGTGCTACACAAATTAATACACACAGATAACACCAAGGATTCACAATGGGGTGTTTGCATTGCATTAAATATTTTATCTGAACATGCAAAATCTGACTCAGGATCTTTGTTTGGCTAGGGCCTGTGCCTTGAGAGGAAACTGACAGGTCTACTTCCGTGTAGGAGAAAATGTGGCTGAAAGTCCTTTGTCTGCTGCTACTTTTGAGATATAACATTAAATCCATTTGCATGCATTAACAACATACAAACAAAAAAAAACTTGTTGAGACCCTTCTAGAAACGTTGAGCTAAACAAAGACTTTCTGAAGAAAGATGCTGTTGTGCACCGTTTTATAGCCCTCATTAGATTGATCCTGATATTTCAGTCAAAGGCAACTATGCTTTCAAAGGAGATTAGATCTGAATGTCTCCTGTGACCATTCAGGCTTATGCCCGACAAAAGTACATCACAGTGATGGGGAACTTTTTTTTTTTTTTACTGTAATCTAAATATTTAATCTCTGTTAAATTTCTTGGCTTTCAAGTGTGGCAAATTTCATGCAGCTGAGGTAAATGTCTGCCATGAAATGAATGTCTTCACATTTGTAAAACGTGTTCTGTCCCCAAAGCCCTAGTTTAAATTCAAGCATGACTTTAAATTCGCCACGGCTTAAACTCCATTACGTTTTGTTGTTAAAAGCTACGATAAGCGTGAAAGTTGTGATTTACGTTGTAGCTACCTTTGGACATCTCCAAGAGGCTGTTAAGAGCGTGGAATGAAACATCATTTTCACAGTGTTAATGTTGGTGTGATAACAGACGCTACATTAAACTAAAATGATTTTGCATCCAAATGCAACCTGGGACATGACTGCATGTAGATACACTACAGATGTATTGGTCTTAGCATTGTTCCAGACTTGTGCCAAGAATTTAATCTCTGATGAGAGAATATTGCTTTGGGACCCCTGTGACCTATAAAATCTCATGCCCCCAAAACAAGTTCAACGATGGGCATGGCACACAAAATGCCAAATGTCACTCGTCAAGATCTACAGCTGACCTTTCACATGTAATCTTTTCAGAATAAATTAATTATCTAACTTTTTAGTCGAGCCCTCTGAAATTGCCACTAACCACAGTAACGGAAAAAACTAACAAATGTATATGGATTCAGACACTATGCTTCTATATCGTAAAAGTATAATGCCTTAAGTTTAAAACAGGCCTGTAAGGGGACAGCACATGAGAGGTAGGGACTTTAATTCCAAAATATACGATCCAAAAATATTTTTGAATGCTTTATGAACATTGCATGCTAGGAAAAAACCATACTCTTGACAACTTTTTTCACAATCACACATATGGCACTAGGTATACAAGAGAACACAATCGCTCCCCGTGAGCACTCGACTCAGAGGAATGCTAGAGCTCTGGCTTTAGAGGAGATTCCACCCTGCTAGGTGGACCCTTCGTCACGTGGCAGGTTGAGTCTGACCTCCTCACCCGCTGGCGAGAAAGAGTAGGCCGCCGTTCCAGGACCGCCCGAGGGACCCCCCGAAGGACCTCCCGAAGGCCCATTGGCTTCCATGGTGAAAACCTTGCAGGTTCCTGGCAGGGTGGCGTCAGGAGCCTCTATGTCTGGGCTGGAGGCCCGGGACGACCCCGGGGAGGACGTGGGGCTCAGCTGCACGGCCGTGGTGTCCTGCAGCGTGTGCTCGCTGGTCTCTATTTCGAACGCCGCTCCGCCGGGCAGACCGCCGTGCCCCATCAGTCCCATTCCCCTGCCGCCCACTTTGGACCCCCGGGAGCTGTGGGGAGGAGGGAGGCGGCTGCACACGCAGCAGGCCCCGAAAAACGAGAAGGCCACCAGCAGCAGGACGGGCCCGATGATGATGGGGGGGTTGGCAGAAGGCACCAGTGAGCTGAAGGCGAACGCTCCCACTAAGGTGATGTTGAGTCCCGCCAGCATGACGCACAAGCCACAGGCACAGCAGAGCGCCGGGGACGGCAGGCCGTAAGGGCGGGACTTCTTCTTCTTCATCTGGGGCTCCTTTTTTGGCACCGAGGTGCCGTTGTTTATGTCAGTGACGACCATGGCTTCAACTCCAGGGCCCCCTTCTCCTAGCTTTTTTTTTTTTTTTTTTCAATGACAGGAAAGAAAAACAAAACTGAGCATGTAATACACCGCTCTTCCTCTGAGCACCAGAACTTATCAGCTACGTGCGAGCAGCGCAGCCTGTTTCCACTGAGCAATCCATCACTGAACTGGGATCGTTCATCACTGCACCACTACTCCTTGAGATTACAATTACCAGGAGAGGCAGAAAGCTGACACATACAATCATCATTGATGAGAAACAAGCTGAAAGCAGTGGCCCTCGTTTACGAAAGGTCATTGCAACAGCTCAAACTGACACTTGAGTGTCATTAAGTACAGCGGTGGCTAACATGTACCGGTACAAGGCCTGTATAAATCATCACTCGATTCTTGATTGAATTCCAGATCTACATTGTGCAGAAATGCTGGACTTTTAATCTAATACTGATACATACATTTCTTTCATTTTAAAATAAATTGTACAAGGAGATGGAAATATAATAGATATATATCAATATTTTAAAACTAGATATAATAGTGGAACTGTGCATTACTATTACATAGTTTAATGAAGTACAACTGTTGCATCGTCATTAAAAGAAAAAAGTATTCTCTGAATGTCAGGGACAAAAAACGTCTGATAAGCCTTACTGTCATGTACGTATTACAATCAAACATGGATTTTCTTTTTCGTTCCATAAATCTCCCTTTGAGAAGCAGATGAATAGGCACGTGTCTGTGAGCATGTTTGTCTGTAAATGTATATAGAAAATTGACTAAAACCAATCAAGTGACGTAAGGGTTTGCTTAACAACGCATCAAAATATAAGTCCACTGCGTAACATTTATCTAATAGTGAACCACAAAACGACAAACAGTGAATAAATAAAAACATCTTACCCTCTAGGTCGACATGCTGAAGGTCCTCTCATTGTTTAACCAGTTGGTATTCATGGAAGCTCTAAGTGTGGGGGGGAAGGGGGGGGGGGGGGGGGGCGTAATTACGAACAGGTTGAAAGACTGACAGCGAAGATCTTGTATCCGGCTTTATTAGCGTTCTCACCCCAGAGTGATCTGATCATGGGAGAGATTCATTCAGCGGCTCAGACAGCGCAACGAAAGGCGAGGAGACTGATGTGGGATGATAATAATGATTCCAACAAGAGGAGAAGGGAGATCACTCCGGTGAGACGGCATCTCCTGTGAGTTGGCACGCCGACGCAGCGCCGAGACGCGTGCGCTACCTGACGGCTCTCCCCTGCAGCGGAGAGGGAGGGATGGAGGGAAACAGCCGTTTGCATCCAAGCATGCGATATGAGGTCGTCGTTTTTTTTGGTTTTTCAGTCTTTCACGTCTGATGCACCGTGCTCCCTCCTCCGAACGCCGCTGGATCCGAGTCTCGCCTCCCCTTTACTGGTCCATCCATCACCAGCGCACTTCGTGCGAATGAGAGAGAGAGGGTGAAGGGGGGGAGGGATTGGGGGGGTGATGAAGGTGAGGACTGTTGCTTTCATCCAGCTGCTTGCGTTCAGCCTGTGTGATGATGGTGAAAGCGGTTGGTTTGGAGCTCTGGTTCCGGTCAGGGGTTTGGGCGCGCTACGTCTTACAGAATCCAGACCCAGATGAAGCTCAGTTTCAGTTCCCCAGACTTAAGGAGGCCTCAGTCAATCTTTACTCGGTGGGTTTGGGCCAGAGCAAGTTCCAAATCAACATTTTTGTTCTGTTTTCCAAGAGACTTTACAATGTCATCCCACTTAAGGAAAGGATATTCCCTTCAAAATATTTATTTTTCAGTAAAGTCAACTGACTTATGACTCAAATTGAATGTGTCATCCACTAAATAACAAGCTCTTACTCATTAAAAATCATACAATTCAGTAATAACTAAGAGTTATTATTCAGTCAATCTGAATGCCTGCAAATGCATTAGACTTAAGAAATATGTAGTAAAGCATAATGTTTTTCATCTGGTTGGAAACTATAAAAAATATCTGCATTCTTGTTTGTTTGAAGAAAACAAAACATACTGCCTCATTTGTCTTAACACACCCAGAATGGTGTTTGCATAAATGTTCCTCACTCGTCTCATCCATGATTTAACTTCATGTAGACGCTGACGGGCTGTTTTGAGGTGTTTTGATTTGACAATCAAGCTCAGGCTCCTGTTGGTAGGTCTCGGGATTACTTATCCTCACAGCGTGTAACCCCTCTTTGCCTTTCATACAGCAGTCACCTTCCCCGAGCAGCCCTGAATATGTGAATGTTTCATGTAGCATGGCAGGGTGCAGCTAAATGAAACACTTCTCCTCTTTGTAAGAACAGAAGCATCGCTTTTTTTTTGTTTAGGTAGCTTGAACTGACAGAACATCCCCTCATCACATGATAGCATCATGGCCTTGATACAGTGAGGTGAGGCGCACACAGGCTGGACTACTGGGCTCATTTTTGCTTAAATTGGTAGGTAAGGAAAGGCAAATGTAAAAAAACAAACAAAATTTATTCTTCACATATTTATTTGACTGATAATGTAAATACGATGGTCTGATCTGAACCACAATTCCCATCAAGGGACAGTTGAACAGAGAAACGTCCCTGATGGCTCTGCTGGTCAGCGGGGTCACATGATGACGTCATGGCGGGTCTTGATCAGATGGCGACTGCTTCAGTTTCCGTCTTGACAAGACATCAGGCATGTCTGAAGAAGTCCTGCAACAGACCAGTGCGTGGGTCACACAAGAGAGGAGTGTTACATGAAATGTGTCAGTGTGCGAAACAGCTGAAGAAGCTGAACTAACACCGAAAGGAATTAATATTCAGAGGACAGTTTCTTAGAAGAATCTGTTCAGTTCAGCATGTTTCCCCTTGATTATGTCACAACTTATATTGCTTCCTTTTCCATGAGCCATGCAGCTTGTGAAGTAAGTTTCAATTACTTTCATTCTAAATGACAAAATAAGAATTCTTTCACCAAACTGAACCTCCGCCTATAATTACTTACTGAAAGACAGCCCTTCTATGCCTGCCACTCTTTTTACACCCATTTGTGTTGCTGACTTTATTAGTTGTTAAATCAGTATTTAAATGTTCCAATGAAAATAAAGTATGGGTTTATGTAATTTTAAAATCATTCCATTGAATTTGTATCTACATCTTTCAGAGCGTCTGCTGTTTTCAGAATTGGGGCTGTGCAGCCCTTAAATATCTTCATGTAAATAAGATTTATTAGTGTCAAAATATGACCAATAACTGCTTTAGCCAAAAATATCTATTCATAACAAAAAGATCAGACTGACCTTCATGTTGTGTATACTGAGAAAAGTCATCATAACCTTGTTGGTGGCGCACACCTTTTTACACTCACACATTTCAATATAATTGGAGCAACTGTCCGCCTTTTACATGGCCTTTTATGTCTGTATGTGCAAAAGTCTAATTAATTTTTGGTCACTGTATCACATCCAATGTTCCGCTGTGATGAAACCAGAATAAACACCAATATCAGATTTGTGCCTGGTAGCTTTTATTAACTGCGTTGGCAGAAAAGCAAATGAGAATATGAGGAAAGTTGCACTATATATTTCCCTTATGAATATTACTGATATTACATATTTTATTAACTTAATATTTCTGGAGGAAATGCAACTATAGCCAGATTAGATTTAAGTTTTATTTGCGAGATAAACAGACTTTAAAAAGAGAAGAACATGGCGCACATGGAATATATACAATAGATGACACATGTTTAAAATGAAGATATGAGTGTTTACCCTTTCTTGCACTTAATGACAGGTCAGATGTATTCTTGATCAAATCACAATAATTGTGCATGCACGTGAATATCAGCATTTCATTCATACCCTTCATCAGGGCTGGGATCACTGACTGGGCCGCCTTCTGTAAAGGTTCCCATACGACTTTTAGAACGCTCCAGTTGGATCTGACTCTGGGTACCTGGAAAGATCCCAAAAAACACATGACCCTATGTGTGTCACTGGTTTTAATGTCATTATTGTGAGAGGGAAAACAAAACACCACATGCAATGACCATCCCTTATCGCAGCCATGTTGTCCAGGTGAATACTTAGAAGATCTGGTCTTTGTTAGAGGAGGACCAGGTGAACGGAAAATGAAGGAACCTTCAGGTATCAGCTGCCTCTCCGCCACTCACCCTCTCGCCGTAGAGCCTCCGCTGGTGGATCCACAGCAGGATTAGCCGCTGTGGGGTGCACCCTGAAACCTCCTGAAATGTTAAAAAGGAAGAGTGTTTATTGGACAGAAACAGAAGCCTTTTTAAAATGCAGTGAGAAAACGTATGAAACAACTTACCAAAAGATGGAAGAATGTGATTGACGTTCAGCCACGCTTTTACAAAGGGGTAGACTGATATGACCAGGCCTGCAGAGCATGAAGTGATAATATTTTTGATGAATGTGTGAAACAGCTTAATGACAAAGTTTTTTTTCCCCCAAAATTTTCAAACTCTTTTAAAAACTTCCTAAAGTTTTTTATACTTCCAAATACTTGCGAGCCAGAAGATGGAAAAATTCTCGTAATTGTTGAGGCCCCGGAGCACTCCTTTGTTACTCTTTCACTGGCGCGGGGTGTTGATGAATAATAAGATTGTTAGATGGAATGTGAATTCCCAAATTCCCAAAACTGTAACCCAAGCCTTCAGAATATGCTCGGCGCTCCAGATGCAGCGTGAAATGGCTCTTCTTGCTTTAATCAAACAACAAAACAATATCTGAAATTGCCTTTCAGTGGTACAGTGCTCCAGTTTGGCAAAGTTATTGATTTTCCTTAGAAGTCTGAGGAGCTGGCATTAGAGCCTGGCAGCTTCTGAGGGTGGCTGTGATGCACGTCTGTGCTTAAAATGTCACAAAACTGCACGAGCGAAAACAATCTGCCCGGAACACTCTGCTCACACTCATTAGTCAGCCTATGTGTTGGAGGCACCATCATGCCACACAAGCCCCAAAAACACAGAATTAGAAACCGCTCAGAGAGTCCCTGTCACACCGCGCCACATGGCGTAAATATGCAGATTTATGTGCATGTAAGGAGAATAAATTAATTATTGAACACTGATCAAATCTTCAGCGAGAATGTCTTTCACATTAAGTATGCATGCGCGCCAATGTCGTCTTCCTCAGATCAAAAGCGGTGCCCTTTGCTCCCTCTAGGAAACCCGTTAAGACGAGCCGTTATCCTCTTGCTACGAGCTGGTTCTGGTTACAGTCTTGTATCAGATGAACGCTGGATGGAAAACGTTACAGGCCAAAGAAGACGTTTCTTATTAAAGAATATTCATCACTTCACCAGCTGAATATGAGTGATCTGAAGCCTTTTTCTGGTGGTGGATATGCTTCACCATCTTTTGACTTCTGAGAGTTTTCCTGATAAAAATATAGTTTTACTGCAGATGTGTGTAGGTGTGCATATTTTACAGTGGAAAAGTTTTCAAGGATGCCTGGGTTTCAGACTCAGATTGGGTCAATGCACATAATGAAATATTAAGTCTATTTAAATCTAACAGTGTTAGCAGAAACAACAAGATTTCCAATAAATATTGAGCAGGACACTGGCCTGCTTCTGTTTTGCATTGAATTTCAAGCAAAAACATCTTACAGTCCAGCAATTGATATCTAATCTAAATTACAAAACAAATTCCTGAATCAAGCTTTGAATTTGGGAGTATAATTAGTCATGCGTCGAGAAATCTTTGACATGGTGTAGTAAAAACAGGAACGGAAATATAAATAATTGGGCCCAGATGGGAAAGTGAGTGTAGTTTAACAGGCTCTTCAACAAATGGAATGCGTATGGTAATGAAAATGGTGATTTTATTAAGATAGCACATTTCATTAGATGTGAGCGTGTGCGGTACACAGACAGAGAAGGAAAGAACCACACACTCCAAAATGACAGAGAAAACTGCAGCACATGTTCACATATTCCCAAATGTGTAACCACTTATTAATTGTAAGTTTGTGAAGGCATCTCACGTATGGTAATTAAATCATGCTCAAAATATTCTCTTTTTTTTGTTGAGAATTTAGGAACATTTAGAAGAGAAGCTAAGCCCTTTGTGGGCTTAGCTCCAATACACACTCACCGAGGCCTCCAGCTCCTAAGAAGATTCCTCCGACAGCATCAGCATCACATTCCCGTGACACACCGATGATGATGCAGCCGGCCACGATGCTGAGGAGGGCCGACCCCACCCGGAGCCCATGATACTCCCCGACACTGACCGGGTTCATTCAGCAGGCGGAAGCCCCCACCTGCCAGACACACTCTCTCACTCACACACACATACACCCCGCACACACACACAGAGTCCTTATCCCTAACCCCAGTCTGCCTCACTTTGGCCCTCAGAGCCAGTGGCCAGCTCCCCGTCATCTGCCTGAGCCTGGCCTGCTCCGTCTTTCACTCTCTCTGACACCGTAACACTTTCTCTGAAAGCGCCTCCATCTCCACTCTCTGTTTCTGAAGATGCTTCATGCATCTTTAAAGCGGAGCTCAGGTTGCCACCGAAGATTAGAAAGCTTCGGGTGCTGTCTTGTATGACCGAGACTCCCCCAACAAATCTTATCACAGTCCTCTACCGACCTGCACTGGCATCCTGTGTCATAATTTATCTGGCGGATGCCTGGAGTGTCATTTAAAAAAACAATTGAATGTTAGAGAGATGCAGAGCATTAAAGGGCTAAACAGTAAGACTACAAGGGCATAGAGGCATAAAACAGAGGAGGGCGGAGAGCCGAGAGAAATAAGTGAGGAAGAAATTGCAATGATTAGAGAGGCTGAGAAAGACCGCAAGCAGTTTGTGTGATTTGTCTTTGAGCTTGAAGGGAAAGTATAATGAAAGGTTCAGCGAGAGCTCTATGGTGGGAGCCCGAGGCCATCAACAAAGAAATGCTGTTGCCATAGGAATAGCATATCCATGGCAACGAAGGGAAAATGAGGGTAAGGAAGATTAACACCATAGGGTAACAAATGAATTTAGAGTACTGGATGGAAAAGAAACAGTGACACATTTCCTCCATGACCAGGAAATTATTTCTATCTTTCTCCAGAGCCACATTTGCATTCACTG